GTTTGCGAGCGACGTCGGCGTCCTCGTTCGCCACGGTCCAGCGGATAAATTCGATTTTCCAGTCGTCGTCGTCTTCCGCATCGACCATCTTCAGCAGACTCGACACCTTGAATCTAGACAGTTTGGAAGAGACGGCGCTTTGCGAAACGCGCAAGGTGCCGACGAGATTGCGCAGGTAGACCCTCACTCGAGCTTCCAGACTAAACTGCTTGGTCTTCCAGTACGCCGTTCGCGCCGTGTGCAACAGCTCGGTGATTTGCGCGACCCCGAGGTCTCGATGCAGCTAGCTCCCAATAGTTTTCGCCATTTGCCGATCTCGTCGAAAAGAGATTGTTAACGCTTTCGCGCGACGCCTCGGTGGACGGAAAAAAGGAAGCGCGGTGCTTGCCCCACGTCGCGACGTGTTTCACGTACTCCTTGTTCGCCTCTATCAGTGTAGCGACCGCCGACCGAGCTCGCCTCACAATCTCCGAGTGCCGCTCGAAATTCTCGTGCGCCTTTCGAATGCGATCAAACTCCACCGTCGCTACAATGTCGTACGGGGCTTTGATTTTGTCCAACAAATCCTTGTCGAAACCCTCGTACTCGCCAAAGGCGACTGGGTCCTTTTCGTGCGTCTGCGGGTATCTATCGATGGGTCCGCTCATTCCCCACTCGCGGATCTTATCTCTACGTTCGCGCTCCGTAGTCATTAGGGATTTGAGTTCGGAAACATTTTTGCGCAGCGTCTGCAAGTTACACTTCGACTGGCTAATTATATTTTCGATCCATAGTTCGGGCGCAGCGTTCATGGTGGCCAGGATCGCGTCGTTCCAAGTCTTTAGGTTTGGTACGCTCGAAGGCAGTTTCACGAGCGGAGGGGCACTAAGCAGGCCGCTGTCACCGAGAAACTTTCTCATGTTTTCGTAGTCTCTGTGGCGTTCCTGTACGAGCCGATAGAGTCTATCGAAATCGTCTTTGGGAAACTTTGACTTGAGACGCACTTTCCACTCGTACAAACCTTTGGAGGTGGCGCGAGCAAACAGAGACGCGGCGTCGGCCTCGTCAAACATACATTTGCCGTGCCTCGCGATTAAAGGATAGTAAGGTCCCAATTTTTCCATTTTTTCATCGACGTCGCCGCTATCGCCCACGCCAGCGAGGAGTAGTCGTCGTAACTCGTTCAGGTGCGGTTTCAATCGCTCAAATTTTTCGTAGAGCACCTTCCAGTCGACGTCGATCAAGGCCTTCCCAATGTCCTCCTCGTCGTTCTCCAGCCAGCGCTTTCTCAAGACGGCGTCCTTGCGAACGGCACCGAGGTCCCTAGCAAATTCTCTCAGGAGATCCTCTAGGCTCCGAAACTTGGCGTAATGTGGCAATAGTGACGTTATGAAGGCGCTACCGTCCTGCAAATACTCGTCAGATTTAATCTTGTTAAATAAGTCCCTCGTCTCTTCCTCTTCGCAGACTTTGTGCGCGGCCGGATGGGTCACCGCCCAGACGAGCGCGTCCCTATGTTTGTGCTCCGTGTAGTTCTTCAAAATCTTTTCGAACGCGTCTAGTATGGCCTGCAACTCGGTCGGCGACAGCGTAGGTGCGGAGAGAAAGACGAACCGCTTGACGTTGTCAATCTTTGCGATTTCGCCAACGGCTTTCAAGAGTTCCGGAGAAAACTTTTCGTCAATAAAGGTCTGGGCATATTCAACCTTGGCTTTCAACTCGGCGTAAATGCGAAGAGTCTGACCTTCCTCGGCGGCGACCCAGCGAACGAGCGCCGCGTCCCACTGCGGCGTGCCCGCGGCATCGAAAACGGCCCGGAGCAGTGGATCGAACGCTGGATGCTGGCTAGACCACGAAGAGTGCCGCGTGACTTTCTTGCACCACTCTTCGAAGAGTCGCTTAAACTTTAGAACGGAATCCTGCCAGATCTGGGACTGGTATCGCTCGAGCACAGAGTTGTACTTTTTAAACGTATTGGTTTTAACGTCGTAGTACATTCCGCCGCTAATGCCGTACAAGTACTTGTCCACGGCATCTAGGTCGTACACGTCCAAGTCGTACAAATTACTAAGCATGTCGTCGCCAGCAAATTCCACGCCCAACGCCTCGGATTACTGCTTTATCACGTCCCTGGTCCTGACTGTGTACATGAATTCGCCCAGGACGTTGTTTGGGTCCTTATACATTCTGTAGATCAAGTGTTTGAGGGCCGGGATGACTACGTTGCGCAGAAACCCGGGCTTGTATTTCTCGCTGGCCAGCGAATTGACCTTGGACTGAATGCTCTTGAGATAGAGTGTGTAGGAAAAGACCAAGTCTATGGCTCGCTTCGGATCGTACAACGCCGTTCGAGTGTCGTTAGCGTGGTTCGCCACAATGTAATCAAACACGCGATTGGCCGTGTCGCCGTAGTCTTTGTAACGGGTAGTTTCGACACCAGCGTTAGAGTACAGCGCGTAGTAAAAATCTTTAAAGTAGTCGTCGACTCTACTTTCCAACCTTGCCTCAAACCCTATGGGAATGGCTTTCAAAGGTTTGAACAAGAGATTGTCGGTGGTCATTTTTTTATTTCAGCTACAGAAACACGTTTTCGCCTTTAGCGCGTTTATTTCTATAATAGGTCATTGCCGCGTAAGTCACGACTCCCGCTGTGGCCAGGACGGCAACTCCACCGACGACGTACAGCCAACCGCTTCCTTCGTCTTCCGCTGCAACAGTATGATACGGCGTCTTGGCGACGTCCGACACTTTTTCGTTGCGCGTCGTTTCTTTAGGAAGAGCCGAATCTCGAAGAGACGGTATCGCGTCGTCCGACCGTCGTCTCTTGGCCGCCTCCGCCGCAGTCTGAGGGGACGTTTGGGCGACGCCCGACTCCTTCTCTTTGGGCGTCGTTTCCCTAGGAGGAGCCGAATCCCGATGAGACGGTATCGCGTCGTCCGACCGCCGTCTATTGGCCGCCTCCGCCGCAGTCTGAGCTGATGTTTGGGCGACGCTCGACTCCTTCTCCATGGGCGTCCTTTCCTTAGGAGGAGGGGGAGGAGGAGGAGGAGTCGACGGCGACTCGTTCGTGCTATCCCGAAGAGACGGTCTAGCGTCGTCCGAAAGTCGTCTCTTGGTACCGACACCCCTCAGCTTCGAGTTGTAGCTGGAAATTAAAGACTCGACGCCGACATAGTCCAGACCGTTGTCGTAAAAGGTCTCGATCAGGCTGTCTACGTCGTGAAGGTCGGCGTCGTACAGCTTTTTTTCCTCGGTCTTCATGACCACCTCGACGCCGGCATCTTTCAGTCTGTCTCGCGTGTACACCGTGGCCAGGAACTTGCCGAGTAGATTGTTCTGATCTCTGTACATTCTGACGATGACGTGTTTTAAGGCTGGCACGGCCACCTTCTCGTGTTCGGCCTTGAGCTCGGCGGACCTCTTAAAGTGAAGAAGAAACGCGGTGTATTCGTTAATCACGTCGTTCATTCGGGTCACGTCGTTAAATAGACCAAGTATAACGTTGCGATACTTGGCCACGATGTAATCGTACGCGGCTTTCATTATCTCTCTGTCGGTCCTGTACCCCGTGTGCGCCCCGGCTCTATCGTACAAGTCTTTAATGTGCACTCGCAAATAGTCGTCCATCGACTTTTTGAGTCGTTCTTCAAACTGAGAAGGAGGCTTCTTGAGTATAACGTTATTCTTATTAGACATTGTTAGGTGTTTTGTATTAGTCCTGGACGTCAGCCGTAATCTTTGACGTTGTATTCGGAAAGAGCTCGGGTCACGTCATCTACAAAAAGCGTCTTGCGGTGTTGCATCTGGGCGTAGACGACGGCCTTTCCGACGACCTCGGTGACGAATCTATCGACGTCGAATTGCATGTTACCGTACACGTTCTCTGATATGCGATCGATCTCCATCTCCTTGGCCAATCGACGCAATTCGTTCTTACAGAGAACGTCGTCCACGGCAGTCGTTGGCTGTCGACTGTCCAATTGCTGCTTCTTCTTATTCTTGGCTACCGTCCTGTTTTGCCGGGTCACGTTGTTTGAGGCGTTTTTTATGCGCGCCATATTCTCACCATCCATCTCCTCTAACGATATAAGCGGGAAACTTCAGTTTTTTATTTGAAATCGACGTTACAATCATGTTACGCGTATACTACGACAACCTGGCAAACACCATCGCGACCGGACTTCGAAATCCCGGCGACTCCAGCGTCTTTGTCGACTTTCTCTACGCCTTGGAGACTAAGCACGCGGCGACGATCCTTCTCGTCGGCCGCCCCTTCATGACGGTAGGCGCAGCGCTGCATCGATTCCATAGCCGCACGAAAAACAGATACAGACTCAACGTGTACGTCTACATGAGACTGGTTCGGACGGAAGTCTGGTACCTCAAGACGGCCTGTCGATACATCGACTTTCGCCTCTACCGCGACGACGCAAGCGCCCTCGGTTCGGTGATCTGCGACTACACGTTCGAAAGCGGTCGAGTGTACGCGAACGCGACCGCCTTTCGCTACGAAGAGGCCAGCAAGATTCTGTGTCTGACTCTGACCGACTCTCTCACCTTCTTTGTGGCCTGCGTTCGCAAGTTGAGTTACCTGCTTGACATGCCTCCCGATCGAGTCGTTTGCAGCGTCGTCGAGCCACGCACCGTGAAAAACGCCAGAGTGCATCGAGATTTTATGAGCCTGTACGAGAGCGTAGATCCGAGGTACTTTAGAGTTTGCAATTACCTTGACTGGTTGTGTAGGTATCCTTTGTTTGGGCAATAAAAATTAAAAAAAAAACCGTGCACGTTGAGTTTTCGTCTCAATCTCCTCGCGTAAGCATGAGTAACGACGTAGATATGACCAAGGTCGAAGAAGAAGAAGAATGGATAGTGTTAGACGAATGGAACGATGGCGATGATGAAAAAGAGGAGGGAGAGATTACGGACGACGAGGTCAACCACTCCGCTCAGACTATTTATAGTTCCGAAGACGAGACGAACTATCGGTATAATCGTTTCAAAAACGAACGTTGGCGGGTATGGAAGAGGCGCCCCGCTACAGGCTCGTACTACCGGGCGACCGGATACCTTACCCCGTACAAGTGGACGTCTTTGAAACAATGTTGCGCGGATTCGGAGAAAAAGCCAACGTCATGATAGAAGCTCCTACCGGATCGGGCAAGACAATGGCCATGCTCGGAGCCGTTCGCGAATGGATAACGACACGACCCAGCGGCAAAATCTACCTCTGCTCTAGAACGCACCAACAGCTCGACCAAATGTTAGCGGTGGCCAAGGCGTTCATCGGAGACGCCGCGCACATTTCTCGTCTCGTCGGCAAGGACCGAGTCTGCCTCTTGGAACGGGAAGTCCACAGCGGTAACGTGCCCCAACTCTGCAGTCAACACAGGGCCTCGTCGACGTGCCGATTCTACCGCAATTGGAAAGAGCAGCATGGACCAGAGGCGCGTTTGCCCGACGTTAGGGACATCGAGGACTTGGTGGAGAGTTGTGCTGCAAACGATATCTGCCCCTACTACGTCAACGAACAGTACTACGTAGCCAGGTCGAAAATAGTGCTGGGTCCCTACAACTACTTGATCGATCCCTTCGTCCGTAGCACGCTCAACATCAATCTCAGCGGCGCGATTCTGATCCTCGACGAGGCGCACAACATTGAAACGTTTTGTAGAGACGCCATGTCCCTACAAGTGTCCAGATCGCAGCTTCAGACGTACGCACGACGATTTTCTCGCAACGTCGAGCTTCGCGAATTCTTCGAGGGGCTCCTGGCCATGATGAACGACGTTGGATATGCGATTGTTCGCGGCGATGATCTCCTGGCCAAGACGAGACGCTACCTCAAGACGGACAACGTGAGCCTGGGTCAAGTCGTGAGTCCCTTAACGTCTCGACATCCTTTGTCCGACCGGTTAAACACCACGTTGATTGACCGCATCGTCACTCAGTTTTACTACCCCGAGATATTTGGTGCCCAAGGCTTTGCAATGTTTGTCGTCCAGGGTCGCGAGTCGCCAGAACTCAGGATGACCTGCATGGACTCGAGTTACGCCATGAAGTCTGTGTCGTCGTGCACGCACTCTATCGTCCTGGCCTCGGGGACTCTGAGTCCGATGTCGTCGTACGAAAAGGAATTGGGCGTCTTCTTTACTCACAAGGTGTCCCCAAGGAACACGTCGCGTCCAAGCGTCACGTCTTTGTCCGTAGGATCTCGCATTCGCTCAAGGGTGACAAAGAGTTTTACATGAATTACAGCGCATGCCAGAACGAAGAGCTACTCAAGGCCGTAGGTTCCGTCGTCTACGAGTCGACCAAGATCCTGAAGAAAAATGTCGGCGAAACAAAGGCTGGCGTCCTGTGCTTCTTCCCTTCTTACAAGCTACTTCAGACCTGTCCAGACGTGTGGCGCAAAGTGCCTCTATGGCCCAAGTTGGTCAAGGTGGTCGGCGGGCATCTGTTTCTGGAAGATTCTGAAAACTCGGACCTCTTGTTCGATAGGTACAAGACTGCGTTGATTGACGGAGAGCCCGGCACGGTGGCCCTGTTTCTAGTCGTGCACAGAGGCAAAATGAGCGAAGGCGTCGACTTCTCCGATTCGCTGGCTCGACTCGTCGTATCCGTGGGGTTACCCTATCCGTCGTATCACAGTCCGGACGTAAAGGTCAAGGTCGAGTTTAACCGCAGCAGGGGCGGAGACGGGGACGAATGGTATAAAACGCAGGCGATGCGAGCGGTTAACCAGTCCGTGGGACGCTGCGTACGTCACGTGAACGACTGGGGGCCGTCCTATTGCTCGACAGTAGGTATTTTAGACCCGACGTTTGGAGCGATTTATCGCATTGGGTCCAGGTCTGCGAAGACGAGTCGTCCACCTTCAAAGACACGAAGAAATCTTTGCTCGAGATAAACTCGTTTTTGAACGGTCGTCTATGAAAATGCACATCCTCAGTTTGCACACGTATCTGCGCGAACACAGATACACGGCTAGCCGACAGGGCTACGCTTACTGGTATTGCACGATTCGCGACGCTACTATTGCTCCTACACCAGCTGCTTCGGTCAACAGCGATCCCGTTTCGACCGACCAGGCTCCAACACGAGTCGCTACTGTTCCATCGGACAAGCGGGGACCGTCCGACAAGCCTATACTCGAATCGTGCACGTGCGAGACTGCTCCTACACCAGCGGCTTCGGTCAACAGCGATCCCGTTTCGGCCGACCAGGCTCCAGTACGAGTCGCTACTCTTCCACTGGACAAGCGGGGACTGTCTGACAAGACTATACTCGAATGGTGCGTGATTGAATACGCCAATACTCTACCGTCGGTAGAAGAATTTCAAACGAGATACAACCTGTGGACTGGTGGAAGGGACAAGTTCGACGCAGGAGTGTTGAAAAACTTTATGACTGCGCCGATACCTCCCTCTTCGGACGAATATGACACCTACGTTAGAGAAGTGGAGATTGCCATGGAGAAGCTGGGCATATATTTTACTCCGACAATCGTCTCAAACCTCATGGAATTGTACGAAAGATTGCACGGACTGTCGGACGCAGACACGCGCGAGCTGGTGTTGCACTTTTGGAGAAAGCCCAAGGCCACCGAGTGGATTCTCGTCGAGATTCTTCTCTATTGCATAAAGGTGGGCGTCGGTGTCTACGACATCGTTGACGGGCATCTCGACTGGATTCGAGGCGAGATCCGGAACGACATGCTGCGCAACATTCGAGACCAGTTGAGTGCGTCTTTCGACCCGGACAACGTGCAGCGAGACAAGTTGGAGAAGGACATTCTCGCGTACCGAAGAGACCTGCGAAGACTCTCTCGACAAGTGTGCGTCAACACGGACCACGAGTTTACGCACGAGTTTATTGCACCACTCTCTGGACATTGCGAAAACTACGTGCCGTGCAAGAAAGGCCGATGGTATCTATGGTCTTAATAAAATACGTACGAATGATTGTCGAAGGTGTTTCTTTGGAAGCTGTGTACTCGCGTTTGAGCGAAATTGATTGATTGATTGATTGATTGGGGTTTTTTGGCGCATCAGCAACTAAGGCTATATTGCGCCAAGCTTATACTATTGCAATTCGGGTTTAAGAAGAGGAAAGAGCTATTGTAGCGAAATGTATGATAAAACCATGAACATGAATGTGTATAAGTGTAAACAATATGACAATGAGTTTAGGATAGAAAGTAAAATCACAGTCGGTGTAGAAGGCCGATATCTGTGAGGAAATTAAAAACACAACTATATGGAATGAGCGGTTCGTCACCTAGTAGTAAGGCAAGGTGTAGTGGAATGTGTTCTTTATAAAACAGTGAGTAGTGTTTATACCGGCATTGGTCATACATAGGGCATTCAATGAGTATGTGCATAATACTTAGAGGTAGGTTGCAGTGCACACATTCAGGGGCCTCCTCCCCGCTCAAGAGGTGTCCATGTGTAAGACGAGTATGACCGATTCGTAGCCTACACAGTACGACTTCGTAAAAGCGCTCCCGATGTCGGGCGCTCTCCCACTCGCCTAGAAGAGGTTTGATTGCATGTAGTTTGTTGCCGGTTTCGCCGTTCCACTGCAGCTGCCACTTTGCTTTGATGCAACGTTTCAGATAATTGTGGTAATCTTTGTAGGTTATTTGGTGTGTGTCAATTTCTCTATCATTAGCAGAACTGGCTGCACTATCAGCTGCTTCATTTCCAGGAATGCCAACATGGCTAGGAACCCAGCATAAGACTATGTCAAAATTTTTCGTTGCAGCCAGGATTATCTTGTACTTTAACTCAGAAACCAGTGGGTTTCTTACACGGTTCATTGATGCGACAGCCTTCAGAGAGCTTAAAGAGTCGGTGTAGATTACAGCGTGAGAAAGGCGTTTTTTGATTATGTAATCAACAGCTAACAACAAACCATAAAGCTCTGCTGTTAGTATAGAGGCTTTTGAATTTATTCTCTTCACCTGATTTACCGATGGTCCCACCATAGCACAGCCTACTACGGAGTCTTTTTTGTCCCGTCTGTATAAAAACTGGCATACTTGTGATATTTGGTCTGAAGCTCAAAGAAGTTCTGCCTTATGACTTCCTGTGGAACATTCTTTTTGTTATACTTGGTCAGTGTAAGGTCGCAATGTATCTGGCAGTTGTTCCATGGAGCTATTTCCGGAGGGTATTGGACCAACTGAGGCTTTGCATCCATCCCAACGGATTGTGCTGCAGTATTATTCCTCATAGAAAAAGGGGGGACTGTGGAAGGTTTGTTTTCAAATGTGCGTTGGAACTTGATCGTCTCAATATTATCTCGAACGGGGTGCTCCGCGACCGAGCGAACCCTGACAGAGTACATAAAACCCAGGGAAAACCTCCTATACTCAAGGGACAATTCGTTTGCTTCCGCGTAAAGGCTAAGCACTGGGGAGGTACGAAATGCACCAATAGCCAGTCGCAGTCCTTGATGATGAATAGGATCTAACATCTTTAGAACTGATGCCCGAGCAGAGTTATAGACAATACAACCATAATCAAGCTGGGAGCGAATGACTGAGTGATAGATACGCAGCAGACACAGTCGGTCCGAGCCCCATGATGCATGTGACAAGACCTTAAGGATGTTTAGAGATTTAAGGCACTTGAGTTTTAATCTCTTAATGTGTGGAACGAAAGTCAACTTGGAATCGAACACAAGGCCCAAAAACTTGTGCTCATTTTTTACAACAATAGGAGAACCATACATGTTCAAAGACGGTTCCTGAAGAGCACCACGTCGACGAGAAAAGTTGACACAAGCTGTTTTTTCGGGAAAAAATTTAAACCCATTCGTATCGGCCCATCTGACCAAATTATTGACTGCAAGTTGAACGCGACGTTCACAAATTGAGAGATTACAGGATGAAACGGAAATCTGGAGATCATCAACATATAAGGAATATTGCACCGAAGGAGGAATTACACGGCCAATGGAATTACGTTTGACGATAAAAAGAGTGACACTCAGTACACCCCCCTGAGGGACTCCATTCTCCTGTAAAAACTCCCTCGAGAGAGTTTTTCCCAGCCTCACGCGGAACGTACGGTGCAGCAGGTAACTCTGTATGGCACTCAACATTCGGCCACGGAAACCAAGATCGAATAAATATTGCAGAATGCCGTAACGCCAGGCTGTGTCCTATGCTTTTTCCAAATCAAAGAAGATGGAGAGACACTGTTGTCTGTTGACAAACGCCTCACGTACGAAGGTCTCAAAGCGGACGAGATGATCGACAGTGGACCGTGCTGACCGAAAGCCACACTGGAACTTATCAAGGCAGCTGTTTCGTTCTAGAAAAAACATGAGTCTCTTATTAATCATCCTTTCTAATGTCTTGGAAAGACAGCTAGTTAGAGCTATTGGTCTGTAGCTAGATGCACAAGAGGGATCTTTGCCGGGCTTAAGCACTGGTACAACCACAGCGGTCTTCCAGGAGGACGGAAAGTGGCCCTCGAGCCAAACTCTATTAAAAAGGTACAAAATTAGCTCCATAGTGGATGGATGAAGATGTTCAAGCATTTGATAATGAATACCATCTGGTCCAGGGGCAGTTTGTTTGGAACCAAGAAGTGCCATTTGAAGTTCGTATAATGTAAATAGAGTGTTGTAGGGTTCGTGCGTGCCACCTGATGTGATAACAGCTTTTTTTTCTGCATTGATCTTGTATCGCTGGAACGTTAAGGTGTAATGTTCCGAACTGGAGACATACTCGAAGTGTTCACCGAGGATGTTGGCCTGTTCCTCAAGGCTTGCAGAACAAACTCCATTCCGACTCAAGAGTGGGACAGTGAATGCCCGGTAAGAGCCGTCAATTTTATGTACGCGATCCCAGACTTCCTTTGCAGATACAGAGCTGTTAATTGAAGAAGCGTACCCTCTAAAACGTTTTTTCTTAGCATGCCTTCTAATCCACCTCGCCTGGGACCTTTTTCTCTTAAATTCAATAAGATTGTGTGTTGTAGGGTAGCGCCTAAATATACCCCACGCTCGATTTTGTTCTTTTTTGGCCAAACGGCAATCTTTGTTCCACCAGGGCTTTGGTCTCCTGGGCAGATGCGAGGACGTCATGGGGATGGAGAGAATGGCAGCTTGTAAAATGTGCTGAGTGATATGTTGAGTGGCTTTATTGATATCAAGATCGTCAAGTGATGTGCATGCAAAAAGAGATGATTCTTTAAAGGTAGGCCAGTTGGCATTTTCGAATCTCCAACGAGGACAGCGTGTTGGGACTGTCATGGGAAGATGGTTAAATTCTAAGATGATGAGAAAGTGGTCACTTCCATAAGGATTCGGTATGACCTTCCATGAAAGCAATGGGAATAATGATGGGTGACAAATAGATAGGTCAATGGAAGTGAAAGTGTGAGTTGCTGAGCTAAAATATGTAGATTCATTTGTGTTCAGCAGGCACAATCCCGCAGAAAGCAAAAAACGTTCAACAAGGGCCCCTCTAGAATCCCGTCTGTCACTACCCCACAGGGGATTGTGTGCATTAAAATCTCCTAAAAGTAAAAAAGGTGAAGGAAGTTGATTAACAAGGTCTTCTAGCTCCTCCATATGTAACTGATAATTGGGAGGTACATACAATGAACAGACTGTAATTATTCGATCTAACAAAATACGTGTAGCCACCGCCTCAAGTGAAGTCTGCAGGGCTACCTCGTTAGAAGGAATTGAACGTTGGACAACCACCGCAACACCTCCAGCTGCGTGAGCTGCATGTGTACGGTCCCTACGAAACACCTGGAAGTGTTTTAAAACATTGGTGTGGGTGGTTTTTAGGTGCGTTTCCTGTAAGCAACATGCAATGGGCCGGTGATCCTCTAAAAGATCGCTCACATCATCGTAGTTAGACAGGAGGCCTCTACAGTTCCACTGAAGGAAGAAAGACATTTATCTTCAAT